AAAAAGAAGCTTACCTAAGTATATTGTAATAAAACCAATCCATACCAAACCTTAAAAGGTTTCAGAAGACTGCTAGAGAAAAAAGACAAATTCTCTCTAAAACAGTAAAAAAACTGTAAGTATAATTTCTGCCATCTCATTAGGCTATGGAAGCTAAAAAATACAAAATATGTTCAAACAACTGAAAAAAGACAACTGGCAACACTGAATTCCATGTTTAGCTTATCAGAAGCTGTTGGTGCCTTGCAACATATCCCTTCCATCTACTTCTAATTTTGGCTTCATTTGTGGTCAATTGATTAGTAATCCTTTGTTTTGTTTTTTTTTTTTTTTTGGTAGGACTGGGTTTTAAACTCAGGGCTTTGCATTTGCAATTCAGGTACTCTACTACTTGAGCCACACCTCCAGTACATTTTTCTCTGGTTTTATTGGAGATGGGGTCTTGTTAACTGTTGGCTTGTGCTAGCATCAAACCTCAATGCCTCCCAAGTAGCTAGGATTACAAGTGTGAGCCACTGGTACCTGGCCTGATTAGTAATCAGAATAGAATAACAATAGAATAATCAGCTCACATGGTTCAAGACACACATCTGTTAGAACAGGAAGTCTGCCTTCAGTCACTTTCTTGCTCTCTCAGTTTTCTAGTTGTATTGGAAACCCTAAAGAAAAACTGAGTGGGTACTGGGATGTTTTACCCAAATCTTCTCTTCTGAGAACCTTTCTCTCTGGACACTGCCTTTGGCTTCAAGAAACTACCATGGTGAAGGGGCTGCAGCTGATGTGGGAGCACAAACAAACCACCTTGCTCATTTGGAACATCTAATGAAAAGCCATTCTAACCCAGAGCTCCCTGATAAAACAGCCGAGACCTCAGTTGCCTCCACATTGTGAGTCACCTTGTCTTCAGCTCCTACAGGTGGATTTTCTAAGAGCATTCTCCAATAAGCTAGCACTTAACTTTTTCTCTTAGTATAGTCCCAGGAATTCTCATCTAAGACAAGATAAAAACTTAATTTAGGCCCTTTTTAGCATTCTCCTTTAGAACTCAAGCAAATCGCTCAGATGCAAAAGGGGAGATAACAACAAACACCACGGAAATCCAGGAAATCATCAGAGACTACTTTGAAAACCTATACTGTAATAAATTTGAAAATCTTGAAGAAATTGACAGATTTCTAGAAATTTACAACCACCCAAAACTGAACCAAGAAGATATTAATCACCTGAATAGATCTATGACACAAAAAGAAATTGAAGCAGCAATCAAGAGTCTGTCGAAAAAGAAAAGTCCAGGACCCAATGGATTCACTGCTGAATTCTATCAAACGTTTAAAGAAGAACTAATACCAACTCTCCTTAAACTGTTCCATGAAATAGAAAGGGAAGGAACACTGCCTAACTCATCCCAAAACCAGACAAAAACACTTCCAAAAAGGAGAATTATAGGTCAATTTCCTTAATGAATATCAATGCAAAAATCCTTAATAAAATAATGGCAAACTGAATCCAACAACACATCAGAAAGTTCATACACCATGACCAAATTGGCTTCATCCCAGGCATGCAGGGATGGTTCAACATACGCAAATTTATAAATGTAATACAGTACATCAATAGAAGCAAAGACAAAAACCACTTGATCATCTCAATAGATGCAGAAAAAGCCTTCGACAAGATCCAACACCACTTCATGATAAAAGCTCTAAGAAAACTAGGAATAGAAGGAATGTAGCTCAACATTGTAAAGGCTATATATGACAAACCTACAGCCCACATCATACTTAATGGTGAAAAATGAAACCATTTCCCCTAAAATCAGGAATGAGACAAGGGTGCCCACTATCCCCACTCCTATTCAACATAGTACTGGAATTTCTAGCCAGAGCAATTAGGCAAGAAGAAGAAATAAAAGGAATACAAATAGGTAAAGAAACTGTCAAAATATCCTTATTTGCAGATGATATGATCCTATACCTTAAAGACCCAAAAAACTCCACCCAAAAACTCTTAGACACCATAAACAGCTACAGTAAGGAGGCAGGATACAAAATCAACCTACAAAAATCATTAGCTTTTCTATACACCAACAATGAACAAACTGAGAAGGAACACATGGAAACAATCCCATTCACAATAGCCCCCCAAAAAATCAAATACCTAAGAGTAAATTTAACAAAAGATGTGAATGACCTCTACAAGGAGAGCTACAAATTTCTGAAGAGAGAGATCGAGGAAGACTTCAGAAGATGGAAAGATCTCCTGTGCTCATGGATTGGTAGAATCAACATAGTAAAAATGGCTATACTACCGAAAGCAATCTACATGTTTAATGTAATTCCCATCAAAATCCCAATGACTTTCGTCACAGAGACTGAAAATCTACCCTAAAGTTCATTTGGAAACACAAGAGACCACAAATAGCCAAGGCAATACTCAGCAAAAAAAGCAATGCTGGAGGTATCACAATACCCGACTTCAAACTATATTACAAAGCAATAGCAATAAAAACAGCATGGTACTGGCACAAAAACAGATATGAAGACCAGTGGAACAGAATAGAAGATCCAGATATGATGCCACACAACTATATCTACCTCATTTTTGACAAAGGTGCCAAAAATATACGATGGAGAAAAGACAGCCTCTTCAACAAATGTTGCTGGGAAAAGTGGTTATCCATCTGCAAGAAACTGAAACTAGATCCATGTCTATCACCCTGTATTAGTATCAACTCAAAATGGATCAAAGATCTAAATATTAGACCTGAAACTCTGAAGTTACTGCAGGAAGGAGCAGGAAACACTCTGGAACTAATAGGTATAGGTAAGGAACCCCAGCAGCCCAGGAACTAAGAGAAAGGATGGACAAATGGGACTTCATAAAATTAAAAAGCTTCTGCACAACAAAAGAAATTGTCTCTAAACTGAAGAGACCACCCGCAGAGTGGGAGAAAATATTTACCAGGTATACATCAGACAAAGGACTGAGAACCAAAATATACAGGGAGCTTAAGAAACTAAACTCTCCTAAAATCAATGAACCAATTGAGAAATGGGCACTGAACTAAACAGAACATTTTCAAAAGAAGAAATTTAAATGGCCAAAAAAAACACATGAAAAAATGCTCACCATCTCTAGCCATAAAGGAAATGCAAATTAAAACGACACTAAGATTCCACCTCACCCCTGTTAGAATAGCCATCATCAGCAACACCACCAACAACATGTGTTGGTGGGAATGTGGGGAAAAAGGAACCGTAATCCACTGCTGGTGGGAATGCAAGCTGGTACAACCACTCTGGAAAATAATTCGGAGACTCCTTAAAAACCTAAACATAGACCTGCCATATGATCCAGCAATCCCACTCCTGGTGATATACCCAAAGGAATGCAACACAGGTTACTCCAGAGGCACCTGCACACCCATGTTTATTGCAGTGCTATTCACAATAGCCAAGTTATGGAAACAGCCAGGATGCCCCACTACTGATGAATGGATCAAGAAAATGTGGTATTTATACACAATGGAATTTTACTCAGCCATGAAGAAGAATGAAATCTTATCAAATCATTCTGAGTGAGGTTAGCCAGGCTCAGAAGACCAAAAATTGTATGTTCTCCTTCATATGCGGACTTTAGATCTAGGGCAAATGCAACAATGTGGTTGGACTTGGATCACATGACAAAGGGACAGCACATTTGGGTAATATAGAACTAGGCAGAAAACCCAAAACATGAAAGCATTTGATGTCCCCACTCCAGAGGAACTAATACAGAAACCTTAAAGCAACAGACTTTATCATGAGAAGGGGATCAGTAACCAGGGTAAAGATCAGTAAGAGATGAATCAACATGGGTCGTAACACGTGTACACGAAAGCAATGCTAGTAATATTTCTGTATAGCTATCCTCAACTCAACTAGCAAAAACGCTTTGTCTTCCTTATTAGGCTTGTCTCTCTTCTTCAACAAAACTAGTGATAAAGGCAGAACAGGACCTGCTTGGAACTGAGGGGGGATGGGGGGAAAGGGCGGGGGAGGGGGCAGGGGGGAGAAATGACCCAAACAATGTATGCACATGTGAATAAAAGAATTAAAAAAAAAAAAAAAGAAGTCAAGCAAATCGTTCATTACTTTTTAGTTTTTTTTTTTTTTTTTTGAGCAAAAGAGCAGAGAGGAAAAGGAAAGCCCCTGCTGGGGGTGGGGGTTGGAGTCTCAGAAAGGCTGAGCCTCATTACTTTTTTAGAGATCACAATTCCCTTTGACAATATGATGAAAGCTAAGGATCCAATTTTCAAAAAAATGGACATAGATACATAATGCAAACGTTAACAAACTCACTTTAGAGGTTGTTTTACCCCCTCTTCTCATCTGTACCCCCTGAAATTTTATCAACCAGCTCAAACTTCACCACCATGTAAAACCTCAGAAGTTTTCTACAGTATCATCAGATTAGCCACCATTTATGGAGCACTTACTCTTTGTAAAGCCTGGACTAAGTGCTTTAACCTCAGGATGCCTTTGATCATGACCCAACCCTGAAGGAGCCTTCATGACTTGACCAAAGTAACACCGCTAGCAATTAGCAGATACTGGATTAAAACACTAATTTGTTTGTAAAAGCTTATGCTTTCAGTAAATGACAAGAGAAGGGAAAGTTAATAAAAATAAGGTCCTCAAAAGTCACCTAAGGAGGTGTCAACTGGGATTTAAACCCAAGTCTAACTCCAGAACTAGCACTCTTTAGGCAAAACGGGTTGATTTTGTCCTGCCTCTTCGCTTTTTGTCTCCTTTGGCATTTGCATTTGCTTCTACAGCGACTCCCCGTAACTTTTTGTGTGGCATTATTGGGCATTGCTAAGGCACACTCCTCCAGCCACGGAGGCCGTCGTACAATATGACGGCGCTATCTATTCCCACCTGTGGAGGGTCGGGGGCATTGTTTTCCGTACAACATGGCGTCACCCTCTCTGTTACGGGCCTGGATCTGACGTAACTTCCTGTCCTGCGCAGTCATATTTGACCCTTGAACTCGTACGCACTTTCTTCTTCCTCTTCCGGGGGTGGTGTTCAAAGGTATGGTAGCTTATTTTTTCTGTCTGTGTATAGCATTTATAATCGGCCGCCATCCGGGGAGATGTGCTAGCTGCTGTATCTCAGAAACCGTTCCTTGAGCAGGCCTAAGGGTGAGGGGCGTAGGAGGGAAGCCTGTGGCGAGCAAGTCCTTTAGATTTAGCTTCGGAAACTCCTCCATCCGGGGAGCCCCTCCGAAGCGGTGAGTAACCAGAGCTCCCGATCCGGGGCCTTGTCGCCTTCGCGGAGTGTTGTGTGGAGACAAACGGGTCGTGGTGCGGCCGCGGAGACCGGGAAGTCGCCCGCGTTTTCACACCGCGCCGGTGAACGTCCTGAGGGAGGACGGGAGACTGGCGGTCTCTGGGGATCGCGCGCATGGCCTTCGGGATCGGTCTTGGTGTCCGATGGGTCAGCGTTAATGTGACTCTAGTGAGGAGCTTGTGAGAACAAAATGCATCTCTTTAAGGGAAAATGTGTAGTGAGGCGGTTCCAAGGGGGCTGGGTTGGCGGTCTTGGCTGGTTCGTGTCACTGTCACTTCGGATGTCACTCGCGAGGGCCAGCACCGCGAGAGGAGAAACAGAAAAAAAGGGTGCTTTTACTAAGTGATAGTGTTATTTCTGGTTTGTAAATGAGGGCGGAGGGAGGACAGGTGCCATAACCTAATACCAAAATTAGTCTCATAGAAAGGCAGAATTAAGAATTCCTCGACTCCTGCTGCTTTGGTGACACCTGGAGTCCCAGCACCTCACTACCCGGGCCGGGCGCTGCCTTCATAATCTTAATGGCAGCTGTGTAAACTAGATAAAAATTCCCTCTTAGGATACTCAGATTCAGTGGCTCGGTGTACTGGTAGTAAATGGCATAGCAACGTTTCAATTTCTGAGCTCACTTGGTTTTCTTTAGATCAGTGTTTTTCCAGCTGATTAGTAGTACTTTTCTGGACAGCCCCCTAAACAAAATCAGACAGTTAGAAGGTTAAGCTTTGTAACAAGAATTAGAACTAAGTGTCATTTGATTGCTGACAGGAAAGCTGACATTCAATAAAGAGACCATACTATAAGGGTGTTGTGTATATGTGTGCCATATACAGATGCTTGGGTAAATTATGTGGTGATGCTTTAAGGTTTGAATTACATTTGCAGTGAAAAAAAAATTGACTTTATTCCATTTTTAATTTAGGTGCTCACAATGGTCCAGCGGTTGACATACCGTCGTAGGCTTTCCTACAATACAGCCTCTAACAAAACTAGGCTGTAAGTATATACAAAATTTAAAATACACATTGTCCTTTACTGTACAAGATGCTGAGTTGTTGGCTATTTCACTTCTAGATCCCGAACCCCTGGCAATAGAATTGTTTACCTTTATACCAAAAAGGTTGGAAAAGCACCAAAATCTGCTTGTGGTGTGTGCCCAGGCCGACTTCGTGGGGTAAGTGATCCTTTGCTGTGAACAACATAATGATGACGGGTTGAACTTTTGCATTGATCCTGTCATGTGGACGTGAGTGAAAGAGCTCACTGAAGTAAACTTCCCCGGTCTGCGTCCACTAACAGCATAGATCTTTTTTTAAAACCACCAGGAGGAGGCAGTGAAATGCCTTTCATATGAAATCAGTATACCATTTCCTTTGTAACCTAGTTTAACGTTTGCAGTTACCACTTAACAAAGTCCAGGAAATGTGTTTCTTGTGAAGAATCATAAGATAATCTTGATGTTTTCTTTATACAGGTTCGGGCTGTGAGACCTAAAGTCCTTATGCGATTGTCTAAAACAAAAAAACATGTCAGCAGGGCCTATGGTGGATCCATGTGTGCCAAATGTGTCCGAGACAGGTAAGAAAACTGTTTAGTTTTCTAACGACTGGCACAAAAATAGTCCATTTTAAAATGCGTTAGAGTCCTTCCTTGACTAGATAATTGGTACTGTACAAAGCACATTATGTCAGAATTTTGGGGCATCCTTATTTTAGATGCAGCGATTAAGAAGACTTTGGTTTTATACAGGAGGCAGGTGAGAAAATCTGTTGGTGGTTTGATATAGGTAATGGAGGATGGAAGGTCTTAAAAAATGTATATTTTGCTGTAATCCGTGTAGTGTGGTAGGGAGTTTAATAGACAACAAAGATAAAAGTCTGGTTATGAAGGGTCTTGCAGACTAAGAGATTTTTAGCTTGATTCTTTAAAATGTGGGAATTGATGGACTTGGGCAGGATAGAGAACCTTAGGTGGGCCAGAAACCAACTGCAGCAGAGTGGATGGTGAAGTATGCATTCAACAGAAGATAGGTGTTTGGACGCATAGTGTCTTTTGGAGAAGGATGAGAAAATTGCACTTGGATTGAGATTTGATGGCTAGGTGGTGGAGAGTTGGGAGGAAAAGTTCCAGGGAGATGGCTACTTTTTATTGGATGTGGGAAAGAATTGTAGCGCAGGTAAGAGTGGTGGTAGAGTTTGTGATGGTAACATTTACCAAGCATTTATGACAGCCTTCTCACAAGTCCCTCTGCAAAGAGTGTATTCCAAGCCTGTAGAAATGAAGAACAGCTGCATGAGTTTACATCATTAGGTAGTTAAGGGCAGTGCCATGACTCAGTCAGGTTTATTAAGATCTTTAATCTTAACCTTACTGGTTACGTTAAATTGCCTCCAAAGAATATATCAGTGGAAAGAGAGATGAATGGTGTTCGCAAATGGATTGATTCAGAGTAGTTTTACATTTAGCTTATTCAGTTCTACAAAATGTTCTATCCAAGTTTCTAAAGCAAGTCTTTCGGTGCCAAACCTTGGCATGGGCCTTTCTGCCTTTAAGGAAGTAGTTTGTAAAGGGGTTGGAGGTAAGGCATGTTCCATTTAATACAAAAATACGGAATACATGTGACTTCTACAAGTGTGGTGCATAGAGGAGAAAGTACTTGCAAGTAGTTGGGGATCTGGGGGTGGCATTCAAGGCAGAACCTGAATGATTGGTAAGTTTTAGGCAGGCAGAGAAGAACTTCCCAGACAAGGTGTTTGACCTGGAACATTAGGGTATGGAATGGGAAGTGACATTGGAGACAAGTGAATCATGAATTTCATGCTACAGGAGTCAGTCATCTTTTGGCTTCCAAACTTCACAGCGCCTAATCACGTGGACACATGTATTAAGATAGGCTCAGGCTAACTCCTCTACCCTGCTTCCCACCACATAATTGTGTTTTTCACTGACACTTGAATAATATTAAGACTTTATTTTTTTTGGCAAATCAGATACAACCAATACATCCAGGATCCTAATACAGAAATTATGTAACAGAAGCTATTGTAAGTGGTGGGGTTGATGTGACTCAGCAGAGGAGGGCAGGCAATGCTTGGCTGGGATTGCAGAATCACTGCTTTCAGTGTTAGTGCAGGAACACTTTATCCTACAATTTCAGCTGTTAAGTTGCACTCTGTACTTCTGAGTTTCATTTACTTTTCTGGATTCTTTGATTGCTATGTTCGTTTCTTTTATGGTGTTTGTCGAGTGTTAAATAATAAATGAAGTTTGTTTTTTAGAAATTATTCATTGAATATTTTCCTTTCTAGGATCAAGCGTGCTTTCCTTATTGAGGAGCAGAAAATCGTTGTGAAAGTGTTGAAGGCACAAGCACAGAGTCAGAAAGCTAAATGAAAACATGAAGCTTTTTTTTTTGGCGGCTAGCACGAATGAAGTATATTAAGTCTCCAGCTCCTCAAGGTAAAAAGCTGTTTTGAAAATGCAAAAGGCTTTTTTTGAGTAATAAAATATTAAAAGGCTTGTTTGTGGTTCTGTGTTATTCTGTGATTTGTTTTGCTTCCTGTAGTATTTGAAGACTCCACAATTTTTAGTTGATTATTTTTTCTAAAAGAAACTAGTTAGAGATCACCGATTACAAGTTCTCTGACAGATCTAGCCACTGCCTTGAAGTTGCCATCAGTGCTAAATATAGAATTCAGTGCTTCCTGTTGCCTTCTTTTTCTTTATATGAAGATATTTTTCTATTGGTTTATTTTTGCTTCTATCATCTAATGAGGCATCAAATTATTCTTATCTTTACTCTAGAGAAAATGTTAGGTAGTTACCAAAAGAAAATTCAAGGCCCATGATTTAGTGTTCTGGACAATGCACATTAAATTTGAACATCACTAGACTCATGACCTAAGGTTTTGTGTATAATCAGAGCCTGTGGAATCAGTTTTGTATTTCTAAGGGCTATTTTGAGTTGTACTGGGGGTTGAACTCAGGGCTTTGTGCTTGCTGGTAGAGGCACTGCCACATAAGACACTAATGTTTCAAAAGACTGCTAGATAAAAAAATTCTCGAGTTGGTTTTGACAACTAGGTGAAAACATTGGTAGGTTATTCTTGATTCCTGAAGAGTACTAGTCCTGGTCCAGGTGCTCTACATACAAAATCCCATTTGTATGATCAAACACTTAACTGCTTTCCTCAACTTAAGCATGTACATAATTATTAAGTGCGTGATGTAACAAGTGTATTTACGCAGGAAAAGTTTCATTATAATACCTTTTAAGATAAAAAGAAAAGTTGCCGCTTTTAACACCTTCATTGGATCCCACTGTCAGCTAGTTATTATTTGAGGCAGGGTCTTGCTCTATGTAGTCCACTGACCTCAAGTTCAGAATCCTCCCTCAGCCTCCAAATGCTCAGATTACAGGTATGTGCTACCATGTCCGACTAGGTAAATGAAAATTTTAGCATTTTGCAAAAGAGGGTGGGGGTCACAGAATTAGTAAGTGACTAAGCTGGCATTTGAACAATTTTGAGAATTTTCTTTGCTACAATAGTGATAGATAATTTGCCATGTGTCTGATGCTTAAAGGTACCAAACACATCCTAGTTCAACAATTACATGATACGCTTATTAATCACTTTATAGTTGAGGAAATGGACATGGGTTGTACACAACCAGAGAATCTACCTGTAAGTTTTTACAGATGGTGTTTTTAGTGGTTTAAAGTCAGTCTGGTATCCTGATCATGCTTTAGCATACTAGTTCAGACCCCTGTTAACAAAATGATAGTGTGATGCCTTAGACTTTGCCCTTCCCCAAAGACCTATCAATCCTGAGAGTTGGTAAGCAATCAGGATAACAGAATTACCTTGTGTTGTGTTTACTCAGAAAATTTAACGTAAGTTTTAAATGGGGATGTAGTTGAAAAGCCTTGGCAGCTAAGGTAAATTAGCCATTACTTTCCATGAGAGTTTAGGGTGTACTGTCTCAGTATTGGTGATCCTGTAGTGTTCTGTGGTGTTTTGACGTAAGAAACTAAAATGTGGCACATTTTAGTGTACATTAATTGCACAAAGTGAGGGGTTTTGTTGGGACATTTCCATATATGCACATAATGTGCTTAGGTCATATTCAGCTCCTCACCACCTTTCCTTTTATATTCTGAAATAGTCCTTCCACTGCTATCCCTGGCCCTCCAAATTCCACGTACAAAAGAAAACATGATGCTTGTCTATAAGCCTGGCTTATTTCACTTAATACATGTCCAGTTCTATATTCTGCAAATGATAGAATTCAGTTCTCTATGACTGAATAAGACATAAATACCTCACATTTTCTTCACCTGTTCATGGGCACCTAGGCTGATTCTTGATTTTTCACTTGACTATTATCAATAATGCAATAATAAATATACCCAGGTATGTTTATGTACTGTTCAGGTGTAAGTAAACCAATTCTTCAGTGATTCTTTTGTATATACCCAGAAGCTGCAAAACAATCATACGGTAGGTAGGTTTAGTTTTTTGAGGACCCTCCATACTGGTTTCCATGGTGATAACTAATTTACGTTCCCACCGGCAATGGATACAGGTTATTGTGTCATCACACAACCCGTTTCCACCCACACATCCTTACCAACATTTGCCTTTTACTTTCTTTGTTTTTTTGGCGGGTGGGGTGGGGAGGGTTTGAGGGTTTGAACTCAATGCCTTGTGCTTGCAAGCTGTCTACCATTTGAGCCACATCCTTTTTATTTTAGTTTGTTTGCAGGCGGGGACTCACCTGGGACAGGCTTTGGACCATGATCCTCCTATCTCCATGTTCATATCTGGGATTACAATTGTAACCACCACACCCAGTTTGCTTGTTGAGATGAGTCTCCCTGATGTTTTTGTCTGTCAGCTGCCTCCTGCCCTTCTCCACCTCCTGCATAGCTTGGAATATAGACATGCACCACCATGTTGGGCCCTTGTTTTTGTTTTGCTGATGATAGCTATTCTGTTTGCATATTACTGATGCTAAAGATGTTGAATGTTTGTCCATGTATGTATTGGCCATTTCATTCAATTTGTTGATTGATTATCTGCTCTTTTAGTGTTTAATTTTTTTTGAATTCTTCATATATTCTGGATATTTATCCCTTGTCAGATGAATGAATAGCTTACAAAGAATTTTTTCGCCCATTTTATAGGCTTTCTCTTCCCTGTTGATTGTTTCCTTTGCTGTGCAGAAGCTTTTTTAACTTAATGCAATCCCATTTATCAGTTCTTGCTATTACTTCCTGAGTTCTTGAAGTCCAATTGAAAAAATCATTGCCTTGTGCATATCTTGAACTCTTTCCCCTAAGTTTTCCTCTAGTAGTTTCAGTTTCAGTTCTTTGATCATTTTGAGTTGATTTTTGTACAGAGTGAGAGACAGACATCTAGTTTCAGTCTATTACATGTGGATATTCAGTTTTCCTAGCATCACTTGTTAAAGAGGCTGTATTTTTTCTATTGTATTTTTTGGCACCTTTGTCAAGAATCAGATTGCTGTAGCCGTGTGGGTTTAGTTTTGGATCTTCTGTTGGTTTACATGTCCGTTTTTGTGCCAATACCGTGATGTTTTTGTTACTGTGACTTTGGAGTATAGTTTGAAGTCAGGTATTGTAATACCTCCAGCATTCCTTTTTTTTTTTTCTCTTTTCCTTTTTTCTGGGATTGCTTTAGCTATTTGTGGACTTTTGGGGTCTTTTGTGTTTCCATATTCACTTCAGGATTGTTTTTTTCTATTGCTATTAGGAATGTCATTGGGCTTTATTTTTCTCTTGCCTCATTGCTCTGGCCAAGATTTCAATCAAGCACTATATTGAAAAGAGTGAGGAAAGTGGACACTTTGTCTCATTTCTGATTTTGGAGCAAGTTCTGTAGGTTTTTTACTATTCAGTATCATGTTGGCTGTTAGTTTGTCCTGTATAGCCTTTTATTATGTTGAGGTATGATAAACATGTCACTTTTAATGTGCTCAAACAATCACTTAAAGTTGAAATCAACTACTTGTTAATTGTTTTACTGAGTTGTTTTTAAAAAGGATTGAGCTTTTAATTTTCAAAAGTAGCTATAGAGGAGGAACTCAGGCTGGCTGGCACTGTTTTGGTGGTCCAGTTCTTTCTTCCCCACTACTCCAACGTGACTGGTCACAGACTTTTCATTTTTCTTTTTTTTGCATACTGGGGTGTGAACTCAGGACCTGAACTATTTAGCAGGTGCTCTACCTGAGCCATATCCCCAGTTCCTGAGCCACAGGCTCTTAACTGTGTGGTCTATCACA